TCTTTAAATCAGCAATGACACATCAAATCCTCTGACTTCTGCTTCTTCTGCCAGCCGGAGGAAACGCTCTGCTTTTAAAGGGCTCACCTGGTTGGGTCAGGCCCACTTGGATAATTTTCACATCATAAGATCAACTGACTTGAGACTTTAATTACATCTGCAAAATCCCTTCACAGCAGTACCTAGATTAGTGTTGGGTTGAATAATCAGGGAATCTTGGGGGGCTATCTTTAGAATTCTACCAACCATAGCTTTAGAAAGAGTGGTCTGGCTATAGTGTGGATAAAGTACTGGAGAGAGGCAAGATGGGCAGCGCCTGATTAGAAGCTGTTGCAATAATTCTGAAGAAAGATAGTGGCATGGGCCAGAGGAATGGGCTTCCAGTTACAGAGAGGTGGCTGAGGTCAAGAGATACCCCATTAGGAAATCTTACTGACTCACTAGACGTGGGAATGGGGCGAGGGAGGAGTCAAGGAGGACCCCCAGGTTTTGCCTTGACCAACTGGGTGAATGATGTTGTCATTCATGGAGATACTTTGGAGAAACAGGTTTGGGTGAGGGAGATAATGAATTCAATTTGGGATATGTTGAGTTGGAGAGAAAGACATCCAAATGGATGATAAAATTTGGGGACTCATTAGTTAATACAGGAGTTCTCAATGGGGGTGATTTGGCCTCACAGGGACCGTTAGTGATGTCCAAAGACATTTTTTATTGCCACAACAGAGGGGTATTGTTGGCATCTGGTGGGTAGGGACTAGGGACACTGCTAAACATCCCACAGTGCACAGGACAGCAAAGAATCATCCAGCCCAATATGTCAATAGTGCCGAGGTTGAGAAACCTTGAATTAATAGCTGGTAGTTAAAGCCACAGAAGGGAAGGAGAAGAGGGCCCAGAATAGGGCCCTGAGAGGAGAACAGACCAACCCAGAGCCTGAGAAGAGGCCAGGGAAAGGGAGGTAAACCAGAGGACAGAGTTAAAAAGCAGGTAGAGAAAGGGGTATAGGTTCTGGAAGGTCTCAAGAGTTGCTGAGAGTCAAGCAAAATGAGAAGTAAAAGTCATCATTGGATTTAAGGTGACAGAAGCCACTGGAGACTGTGCCTGAGCAGTTGCTGCCGAGTCGTGGGGGTGGACGCCTGTTTGGGCTGAGTAAGGAGCATGTTCTCCAGAGGGGAGGACAGGGCAACAGCCAACAGAGGCAACCCTTCTAGAGGTTGGGCTGCTGAAGAGAAGCAAAGAGACGGAGCAACGTCTCAAGAGGGATTCGGGCTGAAGAGAAGATTTGTCAAGATGGAAAGGTCTAAGATCTTAAATGCTGACAAGGCGGAGTAGGGGAAACGGGGACAATCAGAGTGAGGCCCCTGAGAAAAGTATGAGAACAGGAACCAAGGAGCTCAGGGCCTCACGCTCACGGCCCTGCCAGGGAGCACCTCCTTAAATGGGGACCTCAGTGGCCTCGTGCCTCACCCAGCACCCCAGTCCTGCCCAAGAGAGAGACTGACTTAAGGAGGAAGGGATGCCCCTCCCACCGTGACCAGAAGGAAGGAAGATAGGTGTGGGTGCAGCTGCAGGTGGGCTTGGGAGTTTGGTGCAGGAAGATGGCGGAGACCTATCCTCAAAGTAGGCAGCGGCATCCCTTTTGAGAATAAAGGAGAAGGGGATGGGTCAGAGGTTTGAGGAAGGGGGCCAGTTCCGTTTAGGGAAACACAGCAGAAATCCCGGGCAGGGCCGAGGGCCTGGGAAGCTGGAGACTCCAGAGGCATAGATAGCCTTTTTCCTTGTTATTTCTTCCCCCTGAGATTTTTTTTCTCTTGGAAAACTTGTCGTCAGAGTTCCCTTCAAGACTGACTCAAGTGTTAAAACATTTTTCCCACAAAATAACTGTACTCCACCTACTGATACTCATTTTATGAGTCCAATCTGTTGAAAGACAAGGAAACTATTACAAAGGAGATGGAAGATGAACACTGGGTGCAGAAAACAAAGAGAGTGATTTAAAAATGGACATTCATTCACAGCACAAATTGTAATGATTTTTATAGGGTAAAATTGAGGGAAATTACATGAAAGTGCATTTGATTTTTTTAGAAGTCCTGAAACTCACAAACGTTAAAGAGTTACAATATTAACAGAAAGAAAGGCTATTCAAATTAAAGGGAATTTGGAAAGAACTATCATCATTTTTTATTCCTTTATATTGCAAGAGATAATCCAAGCTGTTCTTTAAAATCACTCTCTGATTTTATTATCACAGTAGTGCAGTAGATAAAATTAATTCCTCCTCCCAAATCAGTGTGTTACTCCACCAAGACGAGTATCTTTTACATTCAAAGCCTTGGACAATCTTGAAATTCCCCACAAGGAGCGATAGTTACACATCAGATGCTGGAACAAAGGGAAGGCCTGGCCGGACCTTGTAGATTCAGGCCATGCTCGTAAGCCCAGCCACCTGGCAGTGTTTTCCATTTCACACTCTTTGTCCGTTACCCCCATAGTTTGGGTCAAGGCAGAGCTGTGTAGCTTCTGTGATGTTCCATCCTCATGAAGCATGGTTTCTTGAAAGCTGCCTCCTAACCAGCAGCCGTTTCAATACGTCAGGTGTGGAAACCTGCTCAGACTCTCAGTCAGCTAAGTCTTGTTATTACGGAGGGGAGGAGGGGTGTAAATGTATATGATGATACCCAGTTTGCTCCATAATGAACAAATCTAAGTCATGCTTGCAACCACATCTGCTGACAGAAAGACACTTTCTTTAAGAAGTAGTTACTAAAAAGCATGTCACATCTACAGAGAACAATATGTGTTTAAAATTGTGAGGACATACCAAAAATCGCTAAGCGGAGAGGCAAATGGTTCTGGCTGCTGTTTTTGATAGAAGCAAGAAAAGGCAGGGGAGTGCCTCCCATCCCGAGTACTCCCTTCCCCTCCCAAAACTGTCCCTGCAGTGAGGGTCTGGAGGGGGGCTTCTGAAAGGTACTGGGATCCCCCTAACTTGTATTCCTTTGACAATAATTAGAAAGCTTTGAGGAAGGGGGATACCAGAAGACCCGGACGGTCTGACCTCGGTGAACCAATTAGGGGTGTTTCTTTCCTGTCACCGGTTGAGTAACCAGCCTCTCCGGTCTCTGCTCTCTAGATGCCTGTAACAACCCCCTGGACTGCCTTGAGTTCGCCCACCACTTCCTAAGGGGCTGTTACTTCTATGAGGAGAGGCCAATGTCTCAACAGAGGGACTCTTCCTTCTGTCATTTGTTAAATTGCTCCACAAATTGGTTGTCTTACATAAAATTTGGAATTACAATCTGAGAGGCCCAAGGGCACACCAACAGTCAATGGCTGACTCAAGCTGAGCCCCTTAACCCCGAGTCTTTCACTCCATCCAATCCGTAGCCCAAACCCACCCACCGGCCTCCTCCTCCCCCCGACTGCCACAAGTAGAGGGGAGGGGGACAGGAGGAGAATTGGAACTTTTGTTTTTTAAATGAATTGTACTTTATTCACTTTGACGATCGATCCACAGCCCCTTGAAACATTGAGGAGAACCCCAGGGCGAGACCAATTTCAACAAGATTGGCTCTAACACTTCGGACGATGAATTTCGTAGAGATGGGGCCCATCTCCTCATCTCTGAACTTCGATCACTGAGCGCGAATTTTCGCTTCTCCGCGCTGAGGGCAGGTGGCCCGAACTCAGAGTCCGGGAGGCCCGCGCTCTTCCAGACACCCCGCCCGGCCCTATGGCGCATCAGCCCCGGCTGGGCCTCGCTGCCGAGCAAGGGAGCCGAGGGATCTGGGGGGAGCGGGGAGAACCAGGGCCCGGCGGAGGGTGTCGGGCGCACCGCAGAGACGTCCCTGTTTTCGCAGGGTCCGGGAAAATCCTGCACTCAGTGCCCAAAACCACTGCTCCGACAAGCCAGGCGGGGGCCCGGCCCCTCCGGGCTTCGGAGAAGCGAAGGCTTCCCTGGACCGCTGGGGCGTCCCGAGCTTCCAGCGTCTCCACCCTTACAGGGGTCTGGTCCGCCCTCGCGCGTTTACAGCGCGGAGATTCCGTATGACTCCAGTGCCACCGGCCGCGCCCAGCCAGGCCCGGCCTTGGGCCCTCGCATGCTCCGCCGCGCCGCCTTTCCGCGCGGCCCCAGCCCCTCGACACCGTGGGCTTCATCGCGACTCCTTGTCCAGAACGGCGGCCCTCCGCTCCCCACCCGGTGGCCCCGGTGAAACAGGGGCCGGAGCGATCCGAGATTCCGAAGGGGCAGGGTCCCCCGTGGTCGAGCAAGGACTGGGCTCGCAATCTTGGGGGCCTGCGAGAGTCGTGGTACTTGCCCGAAGGTCCAGGGCCGCCGGGGCTGCGGGGCCCGAGA